CCTCCCAGTCTCCCTGTTTTTTTCTAAATTCATGAAAACTTTGCCACAGCCATCTGTGTTAACTTTTAAATACAATTGTAAATTGGTGATTGTGGAACACATACTAACTCTTAAACTGATTTATAAAAATTCATAAATTGCCATCCTTCCAATAGCATTCAAAGATAACCAATTTGGGCATCAAATTCTTCCTCAGGATTAGTGGTAAGCCAAGTTAGCAACAACAATGCACAGACTTTTCATTTTCTTGTCCCTAATTTTATTGGTTGTCAAATTACAATCCATTCTGTTACTGCAGAACCTTGGTGACAAAACAGAATGAACACATCAATTAAATATGATATGTCAAGACAAATGCATGAATAAAATATCCAGCATTCAGATAAAATATCCAGCATTCAGATAAACTTCCAAAAGCCACTCCTCAGCAGCGAAATGCCATTAAGTCCTTTAGGAACTCATTAATAGATTAACATTTGGAAGAGTAATTACAGTGAGAGTTGAATTCTAATTAAATAAAAATAAAAAGACAAATTGTATATTACATAACCCCACTGAATGCTTGATAAGAATCAATATAATAAAATATCAGAGGTAAAAATGTAATATTGACGTGGTTGTTCTTGAAAGGCAATTACACACATACATATTAACACATGTTAATATGCATGTATTAGTACTTCATAAGTTCTGTGTATACTGCCATATTTCCAAGGATGTAAACAAATACATTGAGATGAAATAAAGGATCTCTGTGAAAATGGGCAGAATTGATACTTCAGTGCCAATAAACTAAATCCTATATCAAATTGACAGTGTTAAACCTTGCATAAAACTGCATTTTCTCAGCATCGACTCTGTTCTTTATTAAGATTCAAATGTACTCTCAAATGATTTCATATGATGAAGGTCTCCTTTGACCATTTGTGATAACCACACCCCTCCCAGAAAAGGGAAGCAGTATGATAGAAAAAGAGATAGTATGTGCAAATTAATAACATTTTCTATAATATCTCTTTCTTCTTAGGCTTAAGCCTTGAACTATATAAGTATATGCTAGAATTTGAGGCATTGTTGCAGACAATTTTACTAATTGCAGGGAAATATGGGGATTTGATTGAGTAAATATGTATCAGTTTTGGAAATCTTTCTCCTCTGCTCCTTTGGCTGATTCTGGAGAAGACTTCTACAATGTTTCAGAAGAGCTACAGCTGTTTCCGTTGGGGCGCGAATGAAATACATGAAGAGTAACATGGTTGTAAAAGTCATAAATGCCAAATAAAATGAAGTCATCAATGAGTAAAATGATTGGGGTTTTAGATTTGCAATTTTCCTTTCTAAATGCCCTTATTGATTTGTTGCAAATACTGTTAACCCTGTCTTTGGCAAATGGTGAGGACATTATTACTTGTGTTCTCATTTGTAATAAAACAGATTAACTTGCTGTGAAAATTTAACTAGGCTGAGACACAACAGTAGCCACCTAATGAACCGAAGCACATTGCAGTTAAGTAGCTAAATAGATGCATACTGATTACAGGGCTGAAAAATGGATCTGTTGACTTGCAAAGAAGAAATAGTTTAAAGAACTATTCATTATTTTAGGAGAAATTGAAGATTCCTAGTTCCACACAAAAATTTTTAAACACACTTAATTCTTAATACATATAAGGCACTGGACTCACCTAATATTGTTTACATGGTGAAAAAAAGTCTGACTTGTATGATGCCTTAGGAAAATAGTAACAATGACCTGAACCTTGACTGAATTTGGAAAGTGCAGGCTACAAAATCTTAAAGCAGAAATATGATTTCCTGCAAAATGCTACTGTAACTCTAAATCATGTTTTCAAAGTTATTTATTATTTCACCTAATGTGCTATTGAAAATGTCGAAGGAGTTTAAAAGTAAATTATTTGAGTTCATATTATTTGATCATATGCAAATTTTAAACATTTTGGGGCTCCCTCTTTATAGCACTATATTTTTTTCTCATTGCTTATAGCATTTTCTTTTGGTGTAGAAGCTCTTCCAATTTTTAAAAACTTCAGAATGAACTTTCATTTTTTTATTAAGCAGAGTGGACAAGAGCAAATATCACTGTCAGCTGGAGTCTCTTACTTTTCCAAGCCATCAACTTTATGAGTCACTCAAAATTTATCCATTTATATTAGGGTAGCATAAATTGCTGTGTGTATGAGTCCTGTTTGCCCCTGCACAGTGATTTTTGTTTGTTCTGTTCTATTTTTGCTCAGTAACCACTGCACTTTGTCCCTGTCTATTCACTTAGAGGTCCATTAAAGATGTAGTTCATTGAATTACACATTTTTTCAGCAAATATCCAATGTTCGAATTCAAAGACTGAATGTTCTACACATTATGAACATATTTTAGCATAGAGTCATTAAGACTACACAACAGGAAAAAGCAAAAAAAATAGTTTTGACCTCATCTGAAATTCCTTTCATTGGTGGATGTGTGTGTGTGTATACACGTGGTGTTTAGACATTGTATTTTTAATCACTACAGTTTAAGTTGAATTTCACAACTGATGAACTACGCCTTTCAAAACGTTAAAGGATGTGGTATAAGGATTATATATCTTTTACTGTCCATCCCCAAACCATCCCTTCAAAATACAAATATAATTATTTGGAAAAAAATTTATTCTCTTCTGCTTTGCTTTTGATTTTGACCTGTATACAGATTATTGCAACTAGATATTTGTCTGTATACTAAATATAAATGAAATGTGTATTTCACTGTCTTAAAATGTTTTTGAAGCATGACAACTGTTATGGAGCCTTTAAAGTGTAATCTATATATATAATTGGTACCTTGTAATTATATAATACTACAGCTAATACACTCAAAGTCCGCTATTCCTTTCATTAAAATTATCAAATGTTAACTAAATGCTAGATAGTATTATCAAACACCATTTGAAAAATGAACATACTACATTGATGACTGTACTAGTTTTTATTGTTTCTGTAACAAATTACAACAAATTTAGTGGCTTAAAAACAATGCAAATTTATTATCTTACAGTTCTGGAGATCAGATGTCTGACATAGGTATCACTGAACTAAAATCAAGGTGTTGTCAGGACTGCATTTCTTTCTGTAAGTGTCCCAGAAATAATCAGTTTCCTTGCTTTTTGCAGCTTCTAGCGGCCAACTGCATTTCTTGGCTCATGGTTCTATTCCCCCATCTTCAAAGCCAGCAACGTTGCTTCTCTCTGACCATCCTTCTACAATCATATCTTCTTTTGACTTTCCCTTTCTGCCTCCAAGATAATCCAGTGCTATATCTCTATCTGAAGATTCTCAATCACGTATGAAAATTCCATTTTGTCATGTGAGACGACATATTTTTAAATTAAAAAATTTTATTGAAGTGTAGGTCATTTACAATGTTACTTTCAGATGTACAGCAAAGTGATTCAGTTATACATATACATACATATATATTTTTTCTTTCCAGATTCTTTCCCATTATAGGTTATTATAAGATATTGAATATAGTTCCCTGTGCTATTCAGTAGATCCTTGTTGTTTATCTGTTTTATATATAGTAATGTGTGTCTGTTAATCCCAAACTCCTAATTTTATCCCTTCCCTACCCTTTCCCCTTTGTTAACCATACTTTGTTTTCTATGTCCGTGAGTCTGTTTTTGGCATGTGAATAGAACTTATATCTTTTCTTTTTTTTAAGATTCCCGTGTTTGAGGCAACATATTCACAGGTTCCAGCTATTAGGATATAGACTAAATCTTTGTGGAGAGGTGGAGTATTCTGCCTGCCACAATGATAGACATTGCAAAATGGTAACTTATACTAATGAAATAATAGCCTTTAACTCTCATGCTAGTACTTTTGCATTAAAAACAATTTTTCTTAAAGGGATTTATCAATTTGGGGCCTCTCATGCAAAATCAGTGTGAAAATGTATAAGCACACATTTGACAAACTAATTTTTAATGTTATGATGATTAGAATACTGATGTTATAATTACACATAATTAGACAGAACATTTAATTTAAGAAATTTATTATGGATGAATTAAATACTTTACAGAACAAACATTCTCTGTCCCAGCATGTCTATCACCCAGTCACATTTATTGCATAAATGAATAAACACCACAATTTTGTTTTTTATTTATCACATTAACAGAATGATTGTCAGATTTATTCATCAGTTTGTGATGCATAAACATAGTGACTAATATCAGAGTTTTATAGCAATCATCATAATCCCAAAAATCCTGACAACCATATCAGTTAGTACAGAGGTATGTAAAAGAAATATCTTATTTTTACTCAGATTCATTATTAAAAACTATAAAAATCTAAACAATACTAATGAACTAATATTGATAAGTTTTCACGTTAGTTTTCAAAACCCATCACTGTGTCCTGTGACTACCCAACTCTTTTGTTGGCAAAATTCACATGAATTCCTAAGGTCTGGTAGATTACAAGTATATTCTTTCCATACTTTTTGTATGTGCAGAAAGACTCAACATGTCCCAGTTGCCACTATTTGTGAGCTTTATTCCAGGGTTCTCAAGTGTTTACCTGTGAGAGGTCTTCTTACTCAGAGAGTAGGATCACCCCCTAGATTATAGCATGAACATCATACCAATGTAGAAGCTTGCAATAACAATAACCTTCATGAATAATAATCACTTTATTCATAATTCTTGATGAATTTCCTAGGAAAAGAAATGGAAACTAACTTTTCTTGAGCCTCTACCATGGAACTGGCATGGCACTGAGCCCTTTCATCTTCTCTTATTTAACACTCATGATACCCTGTTAATTTCCTAAGAACAAAAAATATGTTTTTATCTAAAGATGTGTGTTTAAGACCAGGTATTGTGAATGGATGAACTTTCAGGATGAGAAGTCAACATTTCAAATGTTATGGACTCATCCAACATGAAAAACTTGGTGCACAGGTGACATTTCCTTTTCTATTTCCTTTTGTGGAAGGAACGGATCCCAGAGAGTCCTTCTCCTGCTCCCTCTCTGGAAGAGAGTCATCGCCCTGGGAGCCAGACCTCCTCCCACCCCAGCAGCAGTGTGTCCAGCTCTCCCTCTCAGATGGATCACCATTCGGAGAGAATGGGTGAGTATCTCATCTGAAACAATGAATTGAAAGATAATGGAAATTCTTTATTAAGCAATAGAGAGTGGAGAAAAAAGCTGGGGAGCTGATGCTTCCTTAATATAAATGGTTTTTTGAAGTGATCAATTTGTGGGGTTTTTTGCTGAAGCAATATGAACAACAAAATGAAACAAAGTATTAGAATTTGATTCTTTGGAAGCACCTAAATTTACTGTATCACTGGCTCTCATGGGAAAATTTGCAGGGATTTTTGTAGAGTATATGTTGATTCAATATGTTGGTATTTAATAGCTAGTATAATACAAATCACTTGTTACATTCACAGCATCCTTCTAATAATGGAAGATAAAATAGCATTTAGGCAGTTAATCATTTAAGAGCCATTAAAAAGTGAATCAATGTATGATTTGCTACAATCTCAACAATTCAGATCACAAATATTTAGCTTGCTTTTCCTTATATCTACTTTGTATTATCTCAGAAGTCTGACACCATAGACACTATTCCAGAAATAGAATAATGTTTTTGTCAGTGATGTGGCATATTGGAGAATTGAATCTAGCCACAGTCTGGTCCTTACTAGCTATGAGATCCTGGGTATGTCACTTAACAACCATGAGTATCTTTACCTAATATATGGGAATACTTACAGCTCTGCCTAATGCACTGGAGTTTTGTGAGGTCAAATGAAATAATATGTGGACAAACACTTCAGAAATTTAAAGTGCTGAGGAAATGTGAAGGATATGCACTATTTTCCTCTGTGTGGTTTTACCTTGATTGCTTATCATCTGCTGTCTGGTCCTACTCAGGTATACAGACATTACCAAGTGCCTTCAGCTGTAACAAATTCTCATTTAGTATATAATAATTATGAACCAAATGAGCTAGGTAAAATCTTCATTAATCTTCTGTATCTACACAATCCAATTTCCTATCTATCCATGTCCTTTAGGGAAAATTATTTCTGCTCTTCTTTCAGTCTTACTATAAGGACATTTTTTATGTGAACTGCAAATTTTTATACTTCATAATTGTGATTGCTCAAGGCTCTCCAAAATAATGTTTTTATGGGAGTGGAGAAGAGTTTGAAGGATTAAAGAAGGTGTTAGGTTCTGTATTTGTCCCTGGGACGGACAGAGACGTTTTTTCCCTTGTGGAAATTCATCCAAGTCTCACTTAGCCTGTCAATATTATACATTGTTTGTAGCTATTTAACTTCATAGTGAGCTCAGTGGGTCTCAAATCTGACTCCCCATTATAATCTATGGAGCATTTACAAATCTGAATGCCCAGGCCACAGGCTCAGGGCCTCATTTACCTGGTCTGGAATAGAGCCTAGCAGCAGTGTTTTGTTTTGCTTTTCAGTATCTCCTCAGGAGATTCTAATGTGCAGCCAGAGTTAAGAACCACTGAGTTAGAACTTGAGGCTAATGGCTGTTAAGAGTGTACGAATAATTTCTAGAAGAAGTGACAGAGGTCTTTTAGCTTTACTCTGGTCTGTGGATACAGACTAACCTACTTGTTACACTACTGTGTGCAACTGATTCAAGGAAGTCTGAGCAAGACCTGTGGGTGTATAGCCAGATGACCATAAATGAATCAAGAAACCAAACAAATTCTTCTTTCAAGGATAATCTTTGTACTGATGAGGGAGACGGGAGAAGGGAAAGGGAGAGAGGGAATTATTTATTGAATGCTGGTTGAAAGCAGAGCACATAGGGAAATATGTACACTCTGTGATAGCTGTATCATAAGAGAATGTATCTTAATACTTAAAAATAAAATAAATTTTGAAAGCAATAAAACATTCTAAAAAACCTTGACAACATGAAGCATTTCTGATTCCACTGTCAGGAATTATACTCTTTGTGCATTCCACAATTGTCCAAGCATGATTTGAGATTGTCTGTAAATGAAGTAAAAGGTTTGGTGATTTTTTGGTTTAACGTGACCATATTTTATTGATAGTGCCAATATAAGGTTTTAATAAAATATAACTATGGAGAATTAAATGATAAATTGAAAATTGACATGATTTTCCTCTTTCAATGTAAGTGTTTTGTGAAGAAGCACCTACAACAATTACTAGAAAATTATATCGTATCTATTAATTTTGCTATCTATTTGCAAACTCTAGAGAGTGAATTAAATGCATAATTATTTTAAACTCATGAAATTAAGTGCTAAATTCTTTTCAGAAGCATTTTTGGAAATATATTATTAATTATGGAGGTAAATAGCTAATTTGCACGTCAGTTTTAAAGAGGAAATGTTCTAAATGATTTAAAGACAATATGTTGGCAATTATATATGTACTATATATTAATTATATTTTAAAGTTCACATGATTAAGCAGCTTATTGATTTTTAAATTGTATGATCATCAGACCAATAAAAATCTTTTCACTGGTTCAGAAGCAGAAGTGTATAAAATTCACGTTAGTTGTTACTAGAGTAAAATGGCTGTTTATGTAATGCTTTTCTGCTTTTCTTTTGGGTGTTTTGCAAGAAATTTTCTCAGTTATATCTCTGATTTATAGTTATGATGCCCAGCAATAGAGAAGAACTCATTGTTGATCAGGATAATGGACCAACCATCAAAAAATTCCAAAGGGAAAATAAAGGTAAAATGATTTTTGCTATTTGATGTACATATACAGATCAGATACTAACTCAATTAAGATCCCAGTGCTATATATTGTATCCACAATTCCCTAAGTCAGAAAATATCCATACTGGCTTTGGATAAATTCTTTTAGCAGCAAAAAAATAATATTACCTTAAGCTTGTTTATTTGATGTTATAAATAACATATTAGTCCAATGCTTCTCTGAACCTGTGGTTGCAGTCTTTACCCTAAGCCCTTTTATTTTGCCTGATCAGAGACATCTGACTCTCTTTTTATTACATATGCACTTTGTAAACTGTATGTAAATGAATCACCATTTGTTGGTTATGTTTGAAAAACTTGAATTGCTGTCATGGAGGAGAAATGTTCCCCTCAACCCTCTAAAGTGATTTTAAAAGTATATACTAATTTGGACATTTCAAATGAAAGTTTAGTAAGTTACTCCAATCACCTATTTACCTAGAATGTTGATAGATACAAGGGCAATCCGGCTTTTGATCCATTAACGTACACGTGTCATTTCTGCACAGTATCCAGGTTTTTCATAGGATATCTGTTTAAGGAAGGTAGGGGAGAGTAAGAATTTCAAAGTCATGCTACCTTGATATGAAAGCTGAGTACAACTTTATTTAAAAAAGCTGTTAAGGTAAGAGTAAAGGAAAATATATCAGCATATGTTATAGGTTCTGTATTATAACTGTGACATGAGTCAGTAACTCTAAGCTAAAGAACATAAGCTAATAGGTAATTTATCAGATGGTCTGACTGTAATTCACTATAGGGTGCATTTTTCTACCTCTACTAAAGATGCTCAAAATATGTAGAAAAATAAAACCTTCATGAGCTGAAGAGTTAATGGAGAAAATTTTCTTTCTTCTCTCAACTGAACTTGCTTCCTAATTACTAGATGAGTATTTTAGTTAGAATTTGGAATAATGTATGATTTTAATTTCATTGATGCATGGTTGGTTTCCTCACCACATGTTTTGTCTTTTTCATCCAAACTCTGAAAGGCTATACCCACCGGGGCCCCCAGATGTAAATGATTGATTTCAGAAAAGTTGTCAGAATTGAAGAAATCAGTGTCAGTATATTAAACTACCCAAACTCTTACACAGGTAATGAACTTGTCATTAAAGATAAAACTTCATTCATAACCCAGCAACAATTTGTTCCTGAAACCTCTTGCCCAGCAAGGCATGACTGTTTGAAGGACAGTTTGGTAGTAAAGCAGCTTTTCTAGGAAAATCTCAAGCTGTCCATGATACATACAATTCCGTCAAAACTGCAAACCCCATAAGTCAAAATGGCATTTAGGACTGGCCTGCGTGCTGCAGTGTTCAAGTACACACTGCTGTGTCTTATGAAAAATCAGCTGGAGTGCTAGTACAGATGTACAGTAACTGATTTTCATAAAATACACAGTGGTGTTCTCTGGCATTTCTGAATCTCTTGCTGTGGAATGGCACAGTTATTCTCATTTCAAATATGTTGGTCACATACCCTGATGAGGACATTAATAGACAGGAGTGGCATATTAAATTGTACTTTCCTTATAGAGGAAAGCCTTCTTTTAAGTGAGATTTTCTGTGTCAGGTTCTACCAGTTGCTTTGTGTTATTAAAATAAAATATATTTTCCTAGAATAGATTTTAGTTCTTAAAAGGGAATGCAGTTAAAGTAGAAATTGCAACATTTATTAAGGTTGACAAGTAGGCAGTTTATACAACTGTGGCAAACATATGTTTTCACATCTGTTTTGAGTAATATCATCATGATTTTAAAAATGATTTATAGCTCTGGAAATTATAAAATGCCAGCTTTGCTATTATGTGGAAATTTTGAGAAAATGAAGGAATACCATTAAAGTATGTTACCCATAGCCCACCTCTTACTCTACCTTGTAAAATTGGGTGATAGTGTGAAACATGTCTCAAATGAGAATTTTCATTTTGCCTTCAATTTTCACATGCAGCCATTTCAAAGTCTATGTGATCTGAACTTTCCTGGCAGTGATGTCCAATTCACCTTTGTCCAGTATGACTTACCAAAAGTGTTACTTTATATTTAACTCCAGTATTTTGACTAAACTGACCAGTCAGTCAAGTGAAGCCTTTGATTTTGTTTTTCCACAGACTTAGTCGAACAAACTGACCAAATCAATCGCATGTTATGACATTGTGTTACATGGTCTTTAACAATCAGTTCTGGAATTCTTTAGAGTGGAGCCTTTGGGACTATCTACCCTACTTATGTGGAAGCAAAAACACAAAGGAAGAAGACCCTCTTCCCTGGGCAGCCACTGGTCTCCCAAACTGCTGACAGGAATAGGGGCTTTTTGATATTTTACATTTTGTATTGAATGCATTTATTGAAAACTTTATATGTAGAAGAAGCACTGATAATCGAATCTGGAATTCTATATAATCATCGGAACAATAAAAGGTATCATCTAGCCCAAGACTTAAGTTCACTGGACCATTACATTTTAAATCAATCTACCGGCTACAGATGAAAAGCTAATAGCTTTAACATCCTTTGATTATAAGAATCTAAATTAAAGTACTATCATATTTATTTTTATGCAAAAAGACTGATTTCAGTTTAGAGGAGGGTTTTGGCTTTATATTGACACTATAATAATGTAAATATTTTCTATTCAATCAGATGCTGCTCTCTATCTATTCCTGAGACAATCTCAGATACTACACTATTTTTTTTTTGGAAGGTGTGTGGAAATGATTATGACCCTGGTTAAAATGGAAAATATATCTGTTGAATATTATATTTTTTGAATAAGAGAAACTAAAGTATTGGACCAACTGAAATGCAAACATCATTACAAATGAACTTTATGGGGAAGGTAAAATACATAAAAGGAAGTGAAAGATACAATTTTGTGCATTTCATGCTATTCAGTGATTCTAAATAGAAAAGAGAACAAGGAACGTATCTTAGAAGTTTTCTTTGAATTACATACATTTAAAAAACTTTTTATTTAGAAACAACTGTAGATTCAAAGTAAGTTGCAAGAAGAATACAGAAAGATCCCGTGTACCCTTTGACCAGTTTCTCCCATGGCAAAACCTTACATAATTATAATCTGATGCAAAAATCAGAAAATTTACATTGGTATATTCACACATCTTATTCATATTTCACCAGTTTTATATGCACACATTGGTGTGTATGTCTCTTTGTATATCCTTCTATTGAATTTTATCACATGTGTAGATTTGTGTAACACCACCACAACCAAGATACAGGACTTTTTCATCACCACAGGGATGTGTCTCCTGCTATTCCTTTATTGTTTCCCTCCTCACTCCATGATCCCTAACCCATGAAAATCACTAATCTGTTTTCCATTTCTATAATTCCATCATCTGAAGAATATTCTACAAATAGAATCATACAGTATGTGACTTATTGAGTTTTTTTTTTTTACTTAGCTAAATTCCCTTGATACCCTTCCAAATTGTTGCATGTGTCAATAGTTTTTTTTTTCCTTTTTTATTACTGAGAAATATTTCATGGTATGTTTCACAGTTTGCATAACCATTTTTCCATTATAGGTCATCTCATTGTTTCCAGTTTTTGCTTTTTATTAATAAAGCTTGTATGAACACTTACCTACAGATTTTTATGTCGATATAACTTCATTTCTCTGGGACAAATGTGCAAGAGCTAGATCATATAGTAAGTGTATGTATAGTTTTATAACAAACCGCTAATCTATCTTCATTTTTATATTCTCACTAGCTATATATGAGTTCTCCAGGTTCTCCACATACTTACCAGCATTTTGTGTTGACCCTTTTAAAAAAATTAGCTCTTTTCATAGGTGTGTGTAGTGATATCTCAGTATAGTCTTAATTTTCGATTATCTAATGGCTAGTGATATTGAACCCTTTGTCTGTATGTCCTCTTGTTGAAATATTTCTTCATGTCTTTTCCCCATTTTCTAATTGTTTTGCTTGTTTTTATATCATTGAATTTTGAGTTTTCTGTATATTCTACATATAAATCCTTTATCAAATATGTGGTTTGCAAATATTTCCCCTACTTTGTAGCTTGTTTTTTATAACCTCTTAAAAAGATCATATGCAGAGCAAATTTTTATATTTGATGCAGTCCAATTTGTCATTTTTCTCTTTTATGGTGCTTTTGGTGTCAAGTCTAAAATCTATTCACATAGCCATAGGTCCTGAAGATTTTCTCCTATGTTTTCTGCTATAAGTTTTAAAGTTTTACCTTTTATATTTATAATCATGATCTCAATCAAGTTTTTTTTTTCCTGCTCCAGCACCATATTTTTGAAAAGGCTATTCTTCCTCCACTCCGCTTTTGTAGTTTTGTCAAAAATCAGTCATCTGTACTTATCCAGGACTATTTCTGGGTTCTTTATTCAATTTTATCTATCTATGATTCTATCCTTCTGTCAGTACCACAGTCTTTATTATTGAAGCTCATTGTAAGCTTCAATACCTGATAGAATTACTCCTCCTACTTTATTACTTTTTCAAGATTGTCATGGCTATCCTAGAGACTTTTTCATATGTTTTGCAAAAGAAAGTCTATGTCAATAAAACTCCTTGCTGGGCTTTTGATAGGAATTACATTAAAATTGCAGATTAATTTGGGAAAAATTTACATCTTTACTATTTTATGTCTTCCAATATATGAATATAGTGTGTCTTTTCATTTATTTACATTTTCTTTGATTTCTTTCATCAATAAATTTAGCTTTTTGCATACAAGTCCTGTACAAGATTTGTTAGACTTATACTTAAGTATTTCATTGTTTGTATAATTGTTAATGTTTGTATAATTATACATGGTTTTGTACTTTCAGTTGTCACACTATCTCTTTCTTAGTATGTAAAAATACTGTTGATTTTTATATGTTGATTTTGTATCCTGCCATCTTAACCTCACTCATTAGCTCTAGAAAACTTTTGGTTGGTTTTAATCTTTAGGATTTTCTACATAGACA